GCGAAATAAGTAAGACTGAAGTGATTATCTGCCAATTCATGGAGCAGCTGCTGCTCAGGTGCTCAGATCATTAATTAGTTGCTTGACTGAAATTTGAAGTTTGGATGTTGAATTGCTGTACTGAGTTGGCTGATGCCATCCTCCTTCCAACACACGGGAGTTGGTCTTCTTTCCCTATTGCCTACCCTACTGTATTATTGCATGATTTATGGAGTAAAAAGTTAGTCATCTGCTCTAGAATGACTTTCAGCTGTAACTTCCAGTCACTTGCTGGTTTCCCACTATGATGGTAGGAAGGGAAAACTTTACGAAGTTTCCATTATTTCTGGAACAAGGCTCAGAGTATTCTAACTACCAGGTCCTTGTCTCTACAATGTTATCTGCGTGTATATTTGAGCTTCTGGTACACTATAAACCTAGAAGATTAAAAAGGTTGTTTGTCTCTGTAGTTCTCTCAGTACTGGACTGTAACATACACCAGAATGCTGGAGATTATAGAGGTAAGTAAGTGGATGTTGCACGTTCTTGTGTCTGCATTCCAATGGCACAAGTGTCCTCAAAGATAAATTAAGCTAACATTCAAAGTCTGATGTAGATACCGCAGCCAATATGCTAATACTGTTCTTTGTATCACTGGAATAATGTAGGTTGAAGGCAACTGATGAGAGACTGTGCAAACTATATGTAAAGAGCTGTCATTTAATTGTCTAACTTTCTCAAATTCCAGTAATCTTGAAATGTGTATCTTAATGTGTTCCTATGAAAATATTTTTAGGGAGACTTCCCCTGCTCCCTTCTACATGTTTAAGAAGGGATTTTCTAGAAGTACAGTAACTGTCTAACCCATTTACTATCTGACTACCTTTTTCTAAATAGGAAAAGGGAAGCAATATGTGGAGTACTATCAAAACATGAAAAATACTTTTTTTGTTATATAACTTCCATCTGTAATAGTGATCCTGGGTGCTACTTTTGACTCCAGAAACATAATTTTCCAGCTGATATGGTCTTAGCTCTGTTATTTCAATAAATACGTAAGAAAATGTACCTGCAAATCCCTGTGTGTTAAGAGGGAAAGACTTCTACTTCAAAAGGAATGGAACAAGTCTGTTAGAAGTGAGCTTCGTGTTCCCAGCTTAAATGTGTACTTAAGTTCTTGCACGTACATTTGGCTAGAGTTTGTGCTATGTGTTGCATCTGATTATGTGTGAGCAGCCAAAGATAGCATACTGCTGCAGCCTGTGTGCAAAGCAGCACCTGCATCTAAGTCGTAAGTCTGGAGAAAAAGTTTTGCAAAATTGCTTTCAGAGATTTGGCCTCTCAGCTGGTCAGATTACTGTTCAGAGCTCTAGGGCTCATTGGAAACCTTTTATTTATTAAAGAGACCATTTATGAAGAACATCTACATGGGTGGATTTGGATGATTGGAACATCAGGACCCTTCGGCCTTTCACACCAAATCCTTCCTTTTGGGGCTCAGTTTTTCCTTCATATGCATTCATACCATAGTTACAGTGTTGAGATTTCTCTTAACTGCAGTTTAACTGGGAGAGGGAGCTTGCTCCTTCTTTCAGTCAACTGATAATGAAGATATAAGTTATGAGGGTGTGATTCTGGTCAGAATAATAACCTTTTGCTTTAAAAGTGTAACCACGTGTATACTTGTTGAAAACAAGTCATTAACTTCTTTTTCTGCAAGAGCTATTGGGAACTTGTCCAGCTTTCCTGGGAAGGACTGGTGGGGTTTTTATTTTTTCGTTAACTGGGAGAGGTTTCCCATCTTCCTTACCACATCCAGCTAGCCTGTTCTGGCCTGCTGTAGAAACTTGGGCCAGACTTGAAAAGACATCAGCTAGAGGTATTTAGAAGCTGCACATACTTCATCAGGTCTTGATGTAATTGCTGAGGTGAATCACCTTTGTCCATTCCTAGTGTATGAATGGCATTCTTTCCTTTTCAATTCCAATGAAAGCAATGGATATCAAGCCTTATAATTTGTTCCTAGTAAATCAAATGGATGGTAGGAGGGCCAAATTCCTATTCTGGTTAAAAAAAAAGTTTTTGGTTATTGCAATTTAATCATCATCCTGGTTATCTTATTTTTCACATAGACACTTTCTTGAATTAGTGAGTGTTTTAGGAACAACACTGATAGTAACAATGTGCAATGAATAACATTGTACATCCTAGATGATGTAAAAAAATGTAGATTTGGTTGGTATCAGTAGAGGTGGAGCAGAGTTTCTCGAATCCAAACATGTATTGAAAATAGAGGATCTGTATTTTAAACTAATAAATAGAATCAAACTTCTCCCCAAACTAATAGATGCTGGACATACTACGAAACATGTTCAGTCTTTGATAAAATTCCTCTTAAGATAAATGGGAACTTTGCACTGCTCTGTAGTGATATCTGTTGGTATGTGAGGCTTTGAATTGGAGATATTGCTGCTTGTTAAGGGCAAACAAAATAAAAGGAATCACTTAAGGTGTTCCCAGGAAAGGAAGTTGCTGGCTGTACCCAGACTCTAAAATGAAATTCTGCTGCAGCACCTAATCTTATTTTTAGCCTTGTAGAAAGTTGTATTCTTATTCTTTGGCCAAAATTTAACTCATATACATTTTTCTCACTGAAGTGATTTATAATCCTTCCATAAAGAAGATAGTCCAAATGTGCCATTTCTATTATTTAAGTGATTGGAAAAAGCAGGAAATACAATCTTTACTTTTATTGTGTATTTACTTACAGTAGACTTAAAATGCAAACCATTCTGTGAGTCTGTTTATAAGGCATGAAGTTACTTTTGTTTTGCTTGACCAAATGGCTGAAACACTGCCAGCAGTATGTCTGGAATGTTATTTACTTGGTCCATTTCTGCAGTTTTTCTTTGTAGCACTGTACACATGCCACAGTTAGGGGTCATTTACTTACAACTGACCAAAGTAATACCCCTGAAGCCGCAGTTATTCTTCTCATCAGGGGCTTTGTAATAAAAGGTTCATCATGTTCTGCAGCTTCTGCGCTTGCACTTTTCCCCCCTCTCTCCCTCCTTCACTTCTCTTAATCAGAATTGCTTTTGGTGAACATTTGGAGAGCTGCTGGTTTTTCTTGCTTTGTTCTCTGTGACTTGATTCTTCTATTAGTGCTTTAATTTCTTACAATGTTTCTTACAGTGCTAGCTGATTGAAATGTATTAACTTGCTTTGCTGGATGACTGTTATTATTTTATGAGGAGATGGTTATTGAGTATGTTTTTCTATTTAAGTGTGTATCATATTTTATGGTCTCAGTTCCAGACATTCAACTGGTTGCAAGAAAACTGTGGGTGTTTTAACGTTTCCAACGGAAGGGTAGGGCGGGTGGGGAAGCTCTTTGGAACGCTGACGAATAATATTTGACTCTTGGAAATGTCTTAAGGCCATGCGCTCCCCTCCCATGCTCAGAAGGCAGACTTAGTTCTTGCACTTTTCCCCCCTCTCTCCCTCCTTCACTTCTCTTAATCAGAATTGCTTTTGGTGAACATTTGGAGAGCTGCTGGTTTTTCTTGCTTTGTTCTCTGTGACTTGATTCTTCTATTAGTGCTTTAATTTCTTACAATGTTTCTTACAATGCTAGCTGATTGAAATGTATTAACTTGCTTTGCTGGATGACTGTTATTATTTTATGAGGAGATGGTTATTGAGTATGTTTTTCTATTTAAGTGTGTATCATATTTTATGGTCTCAGTTCCAGACATTCAACTGGTTGCAAGAAAACTGTGGGTGTTTTAACGTTTCCAACGGAAGGGTAGGGCGGGTGGGGAAGCTCTTTGGAACGCTGACGAATAATATTTGACTCTTGGAAATGTCTTAAGGCCATGCGCTCCCCTCCCATGCTCAGAAGGCTAGACTTAGTTTTAAAGACCAGTGGTCTTGAAGGTATTACCATTATGCTTTATTTCCTTTCTAACTGTCTGGAGTTGAGAAAACAGTTGAAATGCAGATTATGGATGCTGAGGGTTAGTGCAGGAATACTCTGCAGTTGATGGTCTTGGTTTGTGCCCTTCCTACTCCCATATCTGGCACGGTGCCCTGTTAATCCCTTGCGTGTTAGTCAGAGGGCTTAATTCTGCTACTTTTTTTTCCTAGATGTACTTAATCTCAAAAATTATGTAACTTTTGGGACGTTAACATCTGTAATGTCTATGAGCATAGTAGAAATTGCCTTACCGCAGAACATGAGTTGGGAACTGCAGTACCTTGCAATTCAGTGTAAGTGTTTTCAATAGCAGAGCAATAATTCATAACAGTTTTTTCCCCCAATTTCTTCTTACAGTACTTGAGTGCAAAGCAGAGTAGATACAGATTGGGTTGTTCTCCCCTGTTGTGAAAAGCAGATAATTAGTGAATATTGAGCCTCCTTCTCACTTCTGTGCTTGTGGTAAAGGATGTTCTTCTTCCTCTGCATTTGCAGGAATGATCAACTCTTATCATCAGATGGTATCTTTTTAGCTTGTTTTAAGTTTTAACAAGCACATGTGCTTTACTATACATGGCTCTTGTTGCTCTTGGGTAGTGATTTGTTTTCTTTATAAAATGTTTCTGCTTTATTTATTTCCAGCTTTGATCATTTAACTGCTAAATACTTGCTGCTTATATTCACACCTGCTCATCTTTTATTATCGTGGCTTATATATAAATGCTTCTATTGAAGTAAATCAGTCTTGTAATTTGAAAAATATAAAACTTTGGTTTAAGTTACTTCTTACAGGTAATAGCTGTTTGACGGTTGAATACAAAACAACTGCTTGGCAGAATTTTGGTTTGATTCTCTGCCAACCAACAATAAAGTACAGTCTAATTCCTAAAAATGCCTGAGCTATAAACTATCAGTCATGATCTAGCATGCATATAGTAATAACAGGCTGACAAGGCTAATAAAGCCTATACATTATTATGGCCATGCAATGCTTGTTATAACAAGTCAGTAATGTATTTTGTCACTCATTCCTATTGTGCAGCCCACACATCATCTTCCTGTCACAGAGTGTATTACCAGGAGGGAGCCATCTCTGTGGAACACGTCTGTGCCACGAAATTGCTCATGCTTGGTTTGGACTGGCCATTGGTGCGCGTGATTGGACTGAAGAGTGGATAAGTGAAGGGTTTGCCACTTTTTTAGAAGATATATTTTGGGCTAGGGCACAACAGGTAAGGTGACGATACATCACTTCTCAATTGAATTATGTGGAAATCAAAATTATATATCCTGCTGTGAATTAGATATAAATTAAAGCTCCTGTGTTATGAAGATAAGTCTTTTAAAATAATATTGGAATTTGCATGATAACTTGATTTTTTAAAAAAAAAATTCCTTCCTGATCCACAATGAACACCAATCTTTACAGAGGTAGAGGCCAGTGCAAATGAGAATGGAAACATCTGCCTGTCAATGATTACCTTCCCACAAATGTACTACTCAATTATTACAATTCAGCTATCAAACAGTTGCTCTGCGTTCTTTCCACTTGTATTGTGTTCCTGAAACTGGAATAATCAGCAGAGTCTTACTGAATATTGTTAATATTCCAGGTACCTAATGAAAGTGGTCTGTTTTTGTCCAGTGGACAGCCAAGAAGCATACATCAAAACAAAATGGAAGCTGATGAAATAGGGCACCAGCACTTACACTTTTTTTCTCTTACACTGCTCAGCAGGAGTTACCCTCATGTCAGAGGCTTAGAAATCATTGTTTGCCTTAAAGTGAAAAGCTCATAAATTGCATGTCAGCTTGTAAAGTGGTTTTCTGATCCAATTCTTATTTTCGTTGTACCTCTGCTACTTCAAGCATTTTGTGTGTTAGTCATTTATTCTTGTTCTTGTGTCAGGCCCTGATTCTACCCCTTAAGTCTGCAGAGCTCCATCTGTGGAAGAGCAGATGGGACTGGGAACTGACATTGTACACTCTTCTGAGCCTCCATTTTATTAAGTATCAGGCATATTTATAGCACTGAACAAAACAGAATTCCTTGTCACTTACCATGTTTCTGGAACAAGAAAGTGAGGAAGGCTGTCCAAACACTTTGCTTTTCCCTTCTAGTCCTAAAACTAATTTCTGCTCTTACATTGAGCATCACTCCTCTGCTGTGAGCTGTTCACATTAATTCTACGCTTTTGCGAGTCACTTGAAAGCATTTTTATTGTAGTAGACACACTTCCATGTAGCTGAATGGAAAGGAGTAAGCAACAAAACAGAGTGATTAGTGCCCTTGTTAATTTATAAGGTCAGAAAATGTATTATTGCTTTTTTTTTCCCTTCTTAGAATTTATGAGTAGTTTTGGTGCTGTGCAATCATACAATTGTAGGATTATAAGTATATTCCATAGTGCCTGACAATAATTTCATGTGACAGAAATATTGGTGTAATGCAGGATAATATTAGCTGCTTTTGCTTTCTTCCATCTCCCATCTTTTCTTATAATAGAGAAGCATAAATTAGTTGTTATTTGTAAGCTGACAACCTGGCATTTATTTCATAATTATGCATCTCTCTTAATATTATGTAAATGGGGGAAAATACAACAGGGAGCTTTCACAAGTGTGTCAGAAGTAGTAGGAAAGAGGGGTGAAGTCAGGACACAAAGCAGCTCTTTGCTTTCAAGGCTGGGAATAGTGAAGACGCAACCAAAACTGGTATGCCAGATATCTGTACTGAACATTCAGTTCACTTATTGCCGGTCACTAAAGGGAAAACAACATGCCCATCTCTCTCCTCAGGCAGAAATATTTAACCGACTATTGATTTGATGCGCGCAGTGAGGCTTCTGTTTTCCTTAGTGCTGCTATTAACTCTTACAGCAGCAACTGTTGTTTTGTTTTTTTTTTATCATGGATATTGGTACTGTTTCCTGCATCTTCTGCACGTTAAAGGGAAACAAAACAAGTTTCTTCTTCTTAAAATTATTATTGCCTGTTGAGAAACAGCAATCAGTTATCTGTGTTTTTTGTACACTAAGCAGCTCTCACATGATGAAGTAAGAGGGCAGCAGGAATTGAAAGCTTTACTTCGCTGGCGACGACTCAGAGATGAGGTGCAGAACTCTGAAGAAGAGCTGCAAGTTTTAAGGTAACAATATGACAGTGTAATCTTTGCTTTTGCATGTTCTCTCTCTCCTGTTTTCCACCATTTTCTCCCTTCAAAGGATATGCGTCCAAATCACCTGATTAAATCCACTGCATTTCCTAATTTCCTCCTGAAGAAAAAAGAAAAGTCAAATTAAATTCACTAGGTTATCATCTTCTGTATAATGCAATTGCTTTTCTCTTTGTTATAGAAAGCTTTCAAAAACCATGGGATTTAGTTTGATATAAAATGTTTCTAAGCAGTTTACAAGAGCCTCTATTCAGGGAAAAAAGAAGGCCATTTCCTGAACAAAGTTCACTGTTTGAAGCCGTAACAGATTCATGTTCTGTGACTGAAGACAAGCACATACAGGAGTATGGCATCTTAACTGCCAAGCTGAATGAACCTTTAAAAAACAAAGGAAAAAGCATAATGAACTATACAAATCTACTTTCTCTTTAGAAATGACTAATAATGCTATGTAAACAAGATTTTGGTCTTTAGGTACCAGATGCTGAGCTCAACGCTTCTTCTTACACAGCTAAAGACATTAGATCAAAAAAAGATTCTTGCTTTGCTAATGATTAATAACCTGGGCTGTTCTGATTGGTGTCTTGGGAATTTGCCATAGTCTTTTATCTTGAGTGGCTACCTAACATCTCCACTACTTGTCTCTTCCCAGTCTTTGACTAAGAAAAACAAGTTTACTTCAATCCTAACTCAAATTAGCCCTACACTGAACAAATCACAGAAGTACAAGGACGGATTTCAAGAGATTATGTAGACCATTCTCCTACCCTGAAATACAGGCAGTATACACAGACCATCTTAAGCAGGTTTTTGCTAACATGTTCTTAGAAACCACCAATAAAAAAAGTTTCTACGGTACTTAGCTAAGCTGTTTTAGTGTTAAGAGTTAAAAATTCCTTTCTAATGCACAGGTGAAATATTGTTTATTTCAAACAATGTAGATGTCTTCTTTTCTTTCACCAAGTGGAAGTGAAGAACAAATTGATCCTCGTCTTCTACATAATCAACTTTTAAATGTTTTTGGAAGACTGTTGCCATTTCATTCATTTTGAGGTGTTCCCTTCTTTTTGTGCTTTCCCAATAGGACCTAAAAGCCTTTTATATTTGGGCACTGTTCACCAACATAGAAATTCCTCTTTATGGCCTCATGTCATCTGAAAACATGTCACCAACTTTACATGACTGTTGCCTTTCATTGATCTGTTTTACTTCATGCTTACTGATGAATTGTGTATGCTATGTGTAAGCTGAGTCAGTGAAGTTATACATTTGCAAGTGTGCAATTTGATAGGTGTAAATACAAAAGCAAGCCTTATCACTAGCTGTCATACAGCTGCTACCAACACAACTACTGATTGACAGATGCTGAGGTTCTTCTTTGTTTTAAAATAAATTATTTTTAGGAACATTGGTTCTTGTGATATGAAGCTTATCTGGATATATGGTTCCATTTTCAACATTATGGAATCACATTTGTCTTTTGTGTTAATTATGTAGTTGTTACTTTTAATAAAATGTGTGTGTGGTGTAAATTTTTAAAATAATTTTTCTAAGGGCCAAAGTATCCTTTGTAGTTTGAAACTCAGGAAGAATTGTTTTGTCTTGAAATTGAAACTTAAGCTTTCTATTGACTTCTACAGTTAGTAGACTTAAGTCTCGCTAATAAGCATGCTGCTAACCTTTCACGTGGTGGTATTCTCAATGCTAATACAGAAGAATGACAAATCGTTTCTTGTTTGAAAAATATGCCTCTAATATACACTTCAGGAGAGGAACGTGATACATCTTGGGATTCTGGCAGTCTCTTCCTCTCTGATGTCTCTAGTTTCCTGTGGTTGCATTTAAGGACTTTCCACTCGTTTCAGTCAGATATAAATATTCTCTACTATTTTTGTGGCATGGACTTGAATAGGTTCTCTCTTTGTACGTTTACTGGTTTTTTTTCTTCTTCCTTCTGAAAGTATGTCCATGTGCTTTCCAGAGTTGGTATGTGTCCTCGTTTCGGCTGGGCTAGAGTTAATTTTCTTCCTAGTAGCTGGCATAGAGCTGTGTTTTGGTTTTAGCATGAGAATAATGTGATAACACATTGACGTTTTAGTTGTTGCTAAGCAGTGTTTATACTAAGTCAAGGACTTTTCAGCTTCTCATACTCTGCCAGCAAAGAGGTGCACAAGAAGCTGGGAGGGAGCATAGCCAGGACAGCTGACCCAAACTGGCCAAAGGGATATTCCATACCATAGGGAGTTGGCTGGGTGGCAGCGATTGCTGCTTACGTACTGGCTGGGCATCAGTTGGTGGGTAGTGAGCAATTGCATCATGCATCACTTGCTTTGCATATTCGTCTATCATTATTATTATTATTACTACTACTATTACTACTACTATTTTATTTTATTTCAATTATTAAACTGTTTTTATCTCAACCCACGAGTTTTCCCACTTTTACCCTTCCGATTCTCTCCCCCATCCCGCTGGGGTGGGGGGAGTGAGCAAGTGGCTGCATGGTGCTCAGTTGCCGGCTGAGGTTAAACCATGACAGCATGTAAGAGAGAAAATTTCAGTCTTGGCATTGCACTGGGTTTTGGGTCTGTACTGAGGCTTTTGCTGGTTCAGGCTTGTGTTTTTATACAAGGATATTAAAATCAAATGATAACTGTTTGTTACTTCTTGCCAATTATATCAGGAAGTAAAAAATCAGCCAACCCACTCTTCCCAAGCATAAGCTTATTCTTCAATTATGTTTTTGTTCCCTGCAGGATGATCATATGACTTTCTGTGCTTTCTCCTGACAGAAGGAAAACCCTGCCCAAAACTTGTCAGCTGATCCTATTAACTTTTGATCCAGCAAATGAATACCTGTTCAGACTAGGTGAAAGCCACTCAGCAAACTGATCATCAGCATGATATTTCTTCTTATTATGGATATTTGATATTATGTTATAGTAGCATCTTATAAGCTACCTGTGAAAAAAGAAGTCAGGTATGAAAGAAATAGGTAAGCGTCTTTTCAGTGGGCAGCAGCTCTGAAAGGCAGCACCAGTAAATCTTAGTGTTGAAGAGGGAATTTGTGGCACTGTAGTGCTCATACAGGATAAGACTTCAGACAGAATCCTGTGTATTTTCTCACAGAGTTTGAAGCAAACCTGCAGGGATAAAAGCACCTGTGAAAGATGTCCTGGCACTCATTCTGCTGGCAAGCATTGACACCAGCACTCTCATCCAGTCTCTCATGTTATGAAAGCAAAGAAGACTAGAGAAGTCCGTTTTGTTCTGTGGAATAAAGCTGGTGTTGAGATTGTTTCATGTCGTGGCCCATATGACTGAACTGCAGCTTGTGATTCTTCATCAAGACAAACCAGTGTTGATATCTAATTCTAAAGTTGTCTCTGAGTTCCACTTGAGTCAAGTCCATTCCCTCCTGAAGCAATGCTCTCTGACTGCTCTGTAGGTGTTTAAAGAGTTTTATTCTATCACACTGATAGGAAACATGCCTTTCAGATGATCTGTCGTGGTCTCTGCGTAGGTTTTCATGACTACCTAGTACATCAGAGCATTTAATTACCAAGGACTTCCTCGTGAATTGTGCTTTTACTTTGTACAATGTACTTCTCTGCCCAGCAAACAAAAAGCAGCATCTTTTGCTTCCTTCAGAAATTTGCCAGTATCTAAAATGTGCCAGGTAGCAGCTTGAATACCTTGAATCAGCTTGCCTTTAGCATTATGCCTAGCTTCATCAACTAGGTTAGATGTAGGTCAGTGTAACAAACTTTCAGTCTCTGTACCTTCAATGTGTTATAAATATACTAAGCATTGCTTTAAAATAGTATGCTGAAGTACTGACCAGCAGAGAACAGGGTAACTTTCTGGATATTTACACTCTTTTGCAGACATTATCAGGAGTATATATACATCCTTTGCAAAAGGAAATTCTTCAGTACCATCATCCAGATGGGATACTGCTTTCTAGTCACCTATTAGGATCTACACAGGCACAGAGTTGGAGGAGGAAGGAAGGAAGTATGGTTGCCTGATTTAGAGTAATTGTGATTATGGGAGATATTTTGGTTTAGTGTGGATCCCATAGCCTGTGCTCCAACTCCATTTTTCAAAGTCTATAGACTGGGCTATTTATTATGAGAGAAATGAAGCAGTTTTGGCTCTTTATATATGCAGAGAACAATGAAGAGTCACGTATGGAGTGCCAGCAGGCCTTCCTTCCAGGAGACTGATCCAGAATGCAAAGAGGTGGACCTCTGCTCTTCTACAGTGGGTCTGCAATGATGTTGTCTTGAAGAACTGGAGTGACCATAGGATAAGAAATCAATTATTGATCTTCTCCTTTCAGTGTTGAAGGAAGATCTTCCTTGAAAGAAAATATGAACTATAGTGTGGTAAAGGACTGTGTTAGGAACAGTATAAAATTGAATCTGCATTTTGTTTTTCTATTCTATTTCAAACAGTTATATTTTATCAAGATTTTACTGTGTGAAGTGAATTTCATGTGCACAGGTCCTAAATGTAGTGCCTAAAGGGTGAAAAAAACAGCTTAGGACTCTGGACAAAACTCTAATAAGAAACCACTACACAGATACAAAAAAGGAAGAATGTTTTCCTCAAAGCAGACATAGATATGAAAGAAATTTGATCACAGGGATTAGCTCCTGAGAAGTGTGGGAGTGATGTGGTTTGAAGAATTGTGCTCTGCTGTGGCCTGTGTTGCCCCTATTCTGTGAAAGTGGGGGGAAAGATGTTTGGTTTCCAAGACTGGCCATTTCAAAATCCACAGTTAGAATTGGAGAGGTTGCTTCAGTCAGAGGGTTAGGCTCCTAAGAGAGACATCTGTTCTCAGACCTCTGTTAGCTGGGATGTTTCCTGGATGGAAGAAAAAAAGCTAGAGGGCTCTTCAGTACTATGCCTATGACGGCACTGCTTACAAATGAAGAAAAAATGTTTGCATAGCTTCTCTTTAGTTTCACTCTGTGCTCATAAGAGCCTAGAAGTCCTCCAAACTTTACTGCTGTAGATTTCTGGCATACCAGATGCTGTATTACATTTTAAAATCAGGCAGTGAAGAAGGAGGTTTGTTCTAGACATTATTGTCTGTAAACCCCAAACCTGTGTGTATGTGAAAGGCTTGCTCTTTTAAAACTTCAACTACTTTTCTTCCAACCCCAAACTGCAAAAATGAAAAACAGACCATTATTTCTTCTGCAGTGTATTGCATGCAGGTGAAAGAGGTTGTTCTTGCAAGTATAGTCATGTAAGCAGTTAAGCCAATGTTCAGGTATAAGAAGAGAAATCTTTAGTTGAACATAATGACTTCAATTCCCTTCCCCATTCTTTTCCCTTCCCCTTTCTTTGCCCTTCCCCTTTCTTTCCCCTTCCCCTTAAAATGTCTTTTTTTGTTTGTTTCTCTTTGTTCATAATGTGTCTGTGCACTGTAGAATGGCATGCAATGTGATGTCATGCTGGCAGTGAAAAGATTACACCAAATTAGTGATGGATTTCGTTTGTACCCCAGCTATGTGGTCAGCTATGTACAAAATTGCATTAAAAGTATGACGTTTGTTTGTCTGTCTAAGCCAAGTTACATACTTAGGGTAAAGAAAAAGACTGAACTAGTCACAGGTGTCTAAAGTTAGTATGTCATTCATGATGCTTTCAACTATGAGTATGTGTAATGTATGAGTTATTTCTTTACTTACTTATCCAAGACTTAGTGTGTTACCATTTTAGGCCCAAAAAGGAGAGCACAGGAGAATTGAGTGAGTCTGGAGCATCTGTTGTCAAACATGGTCTTAAAGCAGAAAAAATCTTCATGCAGGTTCACTATTTGAAGGTGAGTGTTGTCAGCTGATTTTTATTGAAATTGCTTTACTAATGATAAGAGACTTCTTTCTTCTAGACGTCAGTGAATTCATAGCATTCTATTTGTTTCTGGCTTAATTTCTTGCAGGGTTACTTCCTTTTGCGGTCTCTGGCAAGGACAATAGGAGAGGCTTCATACCTTGCATCTTTACGAAAATTTGTCCATAGGTTCCATGGGCAGCTTGTTCTTTCTCAGGTACTGTGCTTGGGGTTGTTCCTCACTTTCTGAAAAAAACAAATGACCTAAACTTTTGGTTTGACTAACTAAATCACCACTTCTGGTTGTGGTGAAAAGAGAATGGCAACTGTAACTTGGCAATATTGGTGCAATTCCTACCTGCTAGAGGGCAGAACTTTTTTTTCAGGGTGATACATAAATCGGACACCTTGCTAGTATCTGATAATGTAAACAATGGGTGATTTTTATTTATTTTTTTTTTAAACTTGATACTTTGAAAGGTCAACATTCATAGGTGCTGATGTTCTCAAAGATAGGGTCATTTACCGTACTGGAACTGTCTCCTGTAGTCTTTTAGCTCATGGGTTTTGGTTGTGATCAGTCAGTCTTTCCCCTGATACCTGTTTCTGGTAGAGAAGAAACACAGAGTAGGAATGTAACTGAAAACTTCTATAAACTGTAACAGTGTGTGCACATTATATTTCTGACTTTATTTCCTTCCTCTGTGCATGCTGCTTCATTCAATGCTTATAATTTCACAGTCTTGCTTATGAGAACCGTTTCTTTCTCACCAAGTCAGGGAGTGATGTCCCGATCACTCTGTGACATTGCACCCACCTGCATTACAGTCTTGTCACAGCCTCTGTATAGGTTTCCTCATCATGGTCCATACTCCCATGCTTTCTAAAACATTGTTACTGAAGTATTAATCTAAATGTGATGTTTAAGATGTGCTGTTTCTTTCTTTCAGTAGACTTTCTCTGACGGTGATACCATGCAGTGGCAGCCCACTCTTAAGAGCAGTTGTTCTCATAGAACAGGATTTCTTCCTGGATTGGTGAAGGCTTGGTTGTAAAATATAATGTTGAATTAGGAATCGGAATCTGCCCTCCCAACGTCCAACTGCATATATTAATCACTTGAACTACACACTTAGCTTGTTCTCTTGCTGACATAAATGGCGTATAGTTATTCCATGCAAAGTAGAACAGCTTCAAAAGGGAAGATTGAGCAAGTCACATCACAGTATATTGTACCATCTGTTATGTAGAGAACCCACCTGGGGTTATAAATAGAAATTTACCTCCCCCTGGGTCTTTCTGAAAAAGTCCTCTAACCACTGGTTGTAGCATTAAAAGGGGGACTGTCTTGTCCTCAAGTGTTTTGTTTTGAGAAGGAAATGACATAGTGTTCTGAACCCAAAGTTCTAGGAAATCCTGTCATTGGTGATGAATCCAGCTGTGCCATGGCGCTGCAGCTTGTTGCTTCTGTAACGCTGTGGGACACCACCCATTCATGGGGGTGTCTGTGAACCAGGTGACTGAAGTCATCGTGGTTAAAAACAGGCCTGGAACAAAAGGCACAACATGACAAATAGTTGGCATCACTAGAAGAGCAGTGTGATGAGAGTGAGGGGCAGGGGAAGAGAGAAGGGGTATGAGTGAACTTCTGAAACCAGTTTCTTTGCTGAAGTCTGCCTTTTCTGGAGTTATGGTTGAAATCTTTGGGGGGATTCAGGATGGTGATAAATGTCTCCTTGCAACACAGAGTGAGGGCCTCTGATTTTGAGGGAATGGGGTCTAACACTTCCCTGTTTCTTCCAGCCACAGGGATTCTTTCCTCGTGCGCTTGCCATTTTGAATCTCACTCTTAGGGTTGAGATGTATGCCCGTGTATCTTACAAATAGCTGACAGACCTGTGGATTCTTTCCTATGTCAAGTGGCCCAGAAGTTAGGCATAGTAGCTCCACTGTAGCAGCTCTGCCCTGTGGAGGAACGTTTGCGGTGTTAAGGGAGTTAATGTTTCCACTGCTGCAGCTGTTTACTGTACCATGTTACTGAGACCATGAGCAGTTATGTTTGGCATAGTGTGGAAAATGCTAGTGACCACATGAGCCTTGTCTGCATTATGGTGTCCAAAATCATAAATATGACACTACACTATTACACAGCTGAAACTTTTTGAAAATTACAGAAATCATGAAACTGCTAAAAACACGAAGCAGCCCAGTGTTTTAATCTGGTGGTAAGAAAGGGGCTTGCATTTTGGTGAGAAAAAGTTAGTTTGTTGCTCCTGGTTGATGTGAGATGAGTTGTGTCAGTACACTGTTTAAATGCTGCAAAATGTCTTAGCACATTATACTATTAGTTGTGATAGCTAGACTGCATTGTAATTGAACTACCCATCTACTAGAAACTTCTCCCTTTGTCCAGCACTCTGCTATGAAATATCAATTTGTAGCTTATCTAACTCCAGTCTCATAAGATGAAATACTGCATGTTGTTTCTGCACCCAGAAACAACCATTTTGGTTACGGATAAAAAAATTGTTCAGTGTTTTTAATTATTCAAGCAAGAGGAAGTGATGCTTTTATTTCAGGTTTCTTAGGGTACTTTTTATTTGAATATGTGCAATATGTCCATAGCTATGTGCTTAATGTAGGTCAAAAAAAGATCCTTTCCTTCATTTGAAGATACTTGATTTGGTGGAGAAAGAGCTGTGTACTATATAAATTTTATTGTGTGCTTTTTGTGCTTTTACCTTGTTTCACAGTAGCCTAAATCCAGCTCCCATTGAAGTTGCTGGGAAGAGAATTTTAACATCATCCTGTTGTTTGGTCACTGTGATTAAAAATGAAAAGGGGATAGGGCTATATCCAATTGTAAATGCATTTACTTTCTTTTTAAGAAATCTTAAAGATTGTATTTATGTCGGTGTCTGGTATAGGTAGATAAGCAATCACAGCAGGAGTTGCAAATGCAGAAGCAATGAAGTCAAGTTTATAATAAACAAAGTTTATTATTCAAGTTCCTTAAGTCAAGTTTATAATAAAAAAAGTTTATTATTCAAGTTCCTTCTTGAACAAATGTGCTGTCAGTGTTTAAATGAATAAAAGATTTAAAATAAACAGAGGTACAAACGGTAAGTTTAAATATCATAGTGGTGTACTTTCACCTTGTCCAAAATAACTGTAAAAGTTCCTAGCTTTAGGAATTGTGGGGATGAGGGAAAGTAAAAACAGTGAAAATAATTGCCCATGTTCTGAATACTAGTCTTGTTTTCAGTGGTGTTTGTAGTATTTTTCCTAGATGGGAGCTGCAGGTGCAAGGAAATGACTTCAGATGTGAAACATTAATCAGTTTGCCTTTTTCCTTGATTTTGAGTGCATGCTCGGTATGTTTTTAATAGTAGTTTTTGTTTATTTTAGTTGAGTTAGCAACAGATGAGTAAAGCAAGTCTGGAATCTTTGAGAAGGATTTAAAAAAAAAATCTTCCATTTTTCTTTCTGTGAGAGAATTCACTTAGTAACTGCTTTGAATGAACTTTTTAAATAATGAATGGAGTGTTACTGACTATAAATAAATAGAAAGGAGTGCAAGTTGCTGATATTCCTAACACAGTTAAACCTGTTGTTCAGTTTGATACTGAAATAAGAACACCTTGGGAATTGAATTGTTTGCAGACTTTAATTTTCATGTAGTTCTGTCTGCTGTAATAATAACCCAAGGTCTGTAGTGGTCATCCATCTGATAGAATTATAATTTGCTATAGTGAAAGGACAGTTAAGGAGGCAACGCTTCAAAAAAATCATAATTTATGCTATTCTTAAAAGTTTTAAAGGCAGATGTATGGATCCAAGCCCACAGTGTATATACACACATCAACATGTTCGTGCACACAGATTTGCATAGGCATATACCATTATCATAATTTTATAAAATTGGTATCTGCACACACAAATCGCCATGCAACCATCCATTAGCTTGTAGAACTCTTGTAACTAGAATTGGAAGTGTAAGCATGCAGGGTGCATGTATTTTGATGTTTCAACCACTAGAATCTTTTCTTTAGATAAACGTTTAACTAAAAATTTGTCTCTGCAGTTTGGCCCCAGCTGTTCCATGCTTACTGACCTGTGAGCTTGAGCGAACAACTGTTGACATCAGTGGGGTATGGTGTGGACTCTGGTGCTGTCCCATCCACAGCAGCCTCTAGGAAAGCTGTCTTTGCTTTCTACACTCTCATGTGCTTGGAAAACAGAAATAGATGGGTCAGTTTTACTCAGATTGAGTTAGTTTCCTGTTCCAATTCTTGCATAAATGAACAGATTCGTGCTTTTTTGTTAGCTGTGCACCATGCAGCCTTCTTTCACTTCCCTTATATGTATGCATTATGAGACAACCTTTAATTACTACATGATCACTGTCCTTTTATTTTTTTTTTTTTCTGATGACCTTTGCCTCATTTATAAAGGCAGGTGTTTTTATAGAGTAGGTGTTGCTCTCATATGAAGGAGCTGCTTGGTATTTTGTTCTCTGTTGACTGTTCATAGGCACTTTATTTACCATGCAGTATGCTTCTCTTTCTGTTCAACCTTTTAAGTTCTAACAAGTCTAAGGCAATAAAAAAGACTGCTTCACTAGGTCAGACATTTTAACCTGAGATTAACTGTGTTTAAAATGCTTACATATGTGACAATTGATTAATGTATGGATCAGTTAATTGCACTGCACATTTTGACAACCCATTGTGTTTGTATATAAAAATCTGACTAGCTTTAGGCCATATCTCTATTTCAGTACAAGCATCTTGAAAGAAGGAACGTATGAAATATTGAAGTATAAGTAAGACTAGGTTAGTAAAAGTCATTAACATGGTATAAGGCAATTTTTTTTTCTTGTGAGAAAACTTTCTATTTCTTTTTTCTGATATTTTTTCATAATTATATAAGATAAATTCTGTATTTTAAAGGACAGAGATCAGAATGAAGTAGGGCTAGAAATGGAACTGGAGAAGAAAGCAGAGAATAGTGAAGCTGAGAGGAGCCCAGATGTTTTATAATAATGTATAATACAGATGAATGATTAAAAAGTCAGTTAATGTGTCACACATTTTAATGTCCAACAGTATGGTTGTACTAAAAAAACAAGTATCTTTTGGTATCATTTATCTCAAGTATAAAGATCTTCAAAGAAGCAATAAGTTTTACACATATAATTGTCTTCTATCAGGGAAGTGACCCGTATATCTGAAAATGTCTTATACCTTTCTGATAGAGTGCACAAATCCTTCCCATAGCTGCTGAACTTACTAAGTCTTGACCCTCAGTCTTCAGCTGTGGAGTATCTTTTTGCATTTCCACTTCTGTTACAGTACTCTTTCACTCCTCTGCTGACCAAAGTTTTTGTATTTGCTTAGCTTCCATTTAGCATCTTTCAAGCTTAAAATTACATGGTAGCTTGTTATGCAATATCATTTGATAGGAAAAAAGATAAATTCTTTGATTCTGACCAGAGCAAACTGACAAGGGAGCAGTCCCAAAGCATGTGCGTTTTATTAGTGCTGAATCACAGCTACACCTTTTGTTTGATTTAGTGAGATGTATTTTAAATAATCAGAGTCAAATGCATCTTACATATGATTTTCTCCTGGATCGTCTTAAACAGAAGTCTAAAGAACGATTGAGGGCTCTATATAGAACCATTGATACATAACAGATCTAGTTCCTCATCTTTTTCTTAGGTATATATGTGGGTTCTTACATGTTTATACATGTAAAATAGGAGGAATCTGTGTTTAATTCAAATTTTTACATGGTGTGGTATATTTACTGTTTTTATTGGACAGTGAAAATTTGTGTAACTTCCGAAGAAATTAAAACATTTCAAGTGAATTTGAGACAACATAGGCTCTGGTGTCAAAGCATTAGGAGAAGGTGTGTTCAAGCTGCATGCCTTCACTTCCCTGCCTGGGGTCTAGTTTGAACCTTCCCATCAATGAGGTAAGGAGGAATGCCAATGCTTTGTTCAGTGAATTAAGTGACAGTCAACATACTTTTTCCAACTTATCTGATCCCCGAAGGGACTTACCTGCTCTGAGGTGTTTTGACATGTACGAAGATGATTTTTGTGAAAGACCTGGGGCTCTGAGAGAAACCCTTTTACAAATATAGCTGGGGTGTTTTAAGACTTGCTTCCCTTAGTTATTCACACTGTACCTAAGAGGACAAATTCAGTCTTGTTAGTAGGGACAGTTTACTAAGATTGGTTTGTGTGAAAGCACTGGACTGTGAATTTGGGCAGCTCAGGCAGGGATACAGGTTGCCTTCTGCTGTTCTGCTACACAGGGACAATAACCCCAGTCAGAGAAACGCCGGGGAAGGGCCATCCAGGGGGCTGATACCACCTTAAATATCCACAAGAAGATTTACCAGAAATCCTTGTCAGATCCTCATATGTGCTATGTTTTCTTGTTTGCCACAATAGTTGGTCATTTTTCTTTAGGGAATTGCTAGTGACCTGAATGCAGTTCATTGGCATGGGGTAAATGGGCAACAAATTCTGCTTTTGACTGGAGCTAGTCAGTAGCTCTGTCGCCTGGGGCTTAGGCTGTTAAGCTGTCTGGCTAATGATGGCTGCCTGATAATAGAGCATATAGCTGGGGAGTCTTGCCTACTCTTGGTAGGAAGTTGTCTTTGGAGGGGCATTCTGGGCTTGTTACCAAAATGCCAAGAGAAGGATTTCAACATGTTGCTGATTTTGTTAAATAAAAGCCAGGAAGATGAGTGGGGAGGGAATTCAAAATAAACAGGATCCTACGAAGGGTGCTCATTATTTATTTTTCCACCCAAAAGGGACAAAGTAACATTTACCATTTAGTTATGTCATTTAGAAACTGCATAATTGATAGGGATAGTTTAACTTCGAGTGGGTAATTTCTGTAAGAAATTGGATGAAAGTGCATTTGGAGTTTGTTGTCAGCTGAAAGTCCTTTTAGATGTATCACTTTTAGTCACAAAATCTCCATTACTCTTATGCACCCCATTTATATTTCAGTTAGAGAATTTAACTGAAAGTATCTGTGGTCGTAGAGTACTTGAAATATCTAGATTTGAGTTTTTCATAAAGAGGATATAATTTGTCTTTTGATATTCAGTGTTCTTTATTTAATATCAACATGTGAGGTACCTTTCAGAGAGAGGTACCTGTCTGCTGCCCCAAAACAGTTCAAGAGTAGAAACATGCTGGTCATTGCTCAAGACAAGAATTGGAGTAATAATAGAGCATCTTTAGTCATTAAATAAAAGGTCTTCTAAACCCAGATCTGTCTAGTTACTGCTTCAAGTAGCCTTCATTCCTAGGGTTCTCAAAATTACTTGTCTCAACTTACTTCTCAGTCATTGGGTCCCCACTCTTCTTTGCCTTTGACTCAGACATGCTACATGCATTAACAGTGCAAAGAAAACTTCTCCTTGATCTCAATTCACAGTCTGTATCCAGATTTGATCTGCTCAGCAGCAGCCCAAAGTTGCAGTTGTGATTAAAATTGTTGGCTTCAGCCTGGACTATGGTGAAAGCAGACAAGAGTCTTTAGGGAATTTAATTATGAGGGTCTAGCAAATCCTTAGCAAACGTGTGTTAACTTATTTTTCAAAGGCTTTTTCAGTTTGGCCAAATGACAATAAAATTCCACAAACTGCAGAATAACAGTTTCTGTATATAGGGAAAAGTTGTTTTCTAGCCTCTTGGTTTCCAGCCAGGGGAGAACAACAGGAGTATGTAGGGAAGTGAGATTACTTAATAATATGAATATAAGCCAGTTTGTTAATAATGCAGCACTGTGGTGGCATGTGATTTCGAACTCATATTTTCTATCTGGCTTCATTGAATTACTTGCAACAAAGACAAAAACCAAACTATAATTTGTTTTATGATCTGACTCAGCATTTATTTATGGTTACCCTGGTCATCCACAAGTCTTTGCTTCCAGGTGTAAGGTCACTAGAACCTCTTAAAAAAATGGCATCAAAGCTTAAAAAAACCCACATTATCCCCTAACTTTTCTCTTGGACGCTTCTGAACCATTTCAGCTGGGGAGGAAGAAAAAAATAGCCTGAGGATAAAATTTCACTCCAGATGGTTAAAGTTTGGCAAAATTATAAGCAACTGAAAAGTCAGACCTATAATGGGATGTGTCATGCAGACTTGATAATAGGCAAACATTAAAAGCCATGCAAATGTGATATAAGTGGTAATTTGTTTTCCTACTTTGTTTTGGAGCATCAAAATAGAAGCAGTTAAAATAGAATAGATTAATCGTAATTTTAAGAAAGGGTGTAGAATGATGGCTACTGCCTTATTCTTAATAGATACTTGGAAAAATGGAAGACAGCTTTAATCACAAAGGAGATGTTTTATTTCATAGTATAATATACAGAATATAAAAACACTTCTAATACCAGAGGTATCTCCAGGTGTACTGTGGGATTGATTATAAAAAGTTGATGCAATCCAATCACGGAATCTAGCTGCATTAATGTATACAGAGACAGTGCAAATAGTGTCAAGGATGACCACTTCAGTATTACTTTTCATACACTTTTGAAACAACTCTAATGATGATCTTTTCCTATTCTTTATTTCCATGTAAGCTTACTCTGTACCTCCAGCAAAGATTCCACAAGTGGAAGGAGACAGTAGTTCTCTGTTTACATACAGAATAATGGTACAGAACTGCAAGTAGTAGTATGAAATAAGGGGATTTCACACTTTATCATCATGTCAGCAATACACTGTAGTTAGGACAGAACGACTCCTGGCACAGTTAATGATGGCATTCTTGCCCCAGCAACACTGAGCCCAGCACTGTGTAATTTACCTTTTATCAAAGGAAATTTTGCGGCCACTGCAACATAGACTGAATCTCACTTGTAATCTAAAGGAGGAAGGCTTAACCGTGTTACCAGTAGTTTCAGTTGTGTAATCACTGTTTCTTTGATTCCCTAACGATGCCATAATCAGACAGAGAAACAGCATCTTTTGTTGAATGCCATGTTAGAGTCCCTAAATAAAAGTTTTCTGCCTTTTAGAAAACATTCTTCAAGACCTTAGAGAGCAAGTACTTGCAATCAGAAATCAGCCTGCACTCATATATTGCAGTGAGGAACATCATTAGCCTATGAAACTTGTCTCCACAAAGATTAGTATTAATAAAGTGGATGTATTGCTTTTTGAAATAGCATATAAATAAATAATTCATATTAATAAATCCTCTTCTCATGAGATTGTTCAGAGGAGTGCATTGTGCCAAAGTGATTGTCATTAAAATTAGGTCATGTATAGCATGGGGTGCCAGAGAACCTTTGTGTGATGTCAGGTGTAACTTTCGAAAGAGGGCTTATCATAACATTGTAAGTGAGCATGATAGTAATGCTGTTCCACTGGTATTGCACCTTCTTTGTAAATCCATGAAAGAAATTCTATCTACCTTTTCTCTGAAGAATCTACTCCTTAGTTGGTGTGGTTGGCAGCAACATTGTGAATTTTATCACGGAATGAGGAATAGGTGTGATCTTCCAATCAGGTATGGGCATTAAGGAAAAAAAAGCCTCATGTGGTTATATAATTAAAGACAGTGTGATAACATAAGCAAGTGGAGAGAACATAAACACTCTTAATTCTGGTGTTTCTTAGCGTTTGAGTATGTGAATCTGCAGACTTTAAGAGTTTTAAATATAATTTGTGTGTGTGTGTATTATAGATTAAATAAAAGCAGGAATGTGGGATTGTGTTAAAATAGCAGGCTTTTCAAGCCCATTTTCTTTCAATATTGACACTTTTTGCTTGAGTGGGTTGGAAAACTGACAAACATAATGTATGTTGTACAAATAACTGAGCAGTATATCACTGTAGTGGATATATAAACTTCTTTCTTATAATTGTTATCTGCAGTCTTTATAAATCCATTGCTCACTAGCAATGCAGACACAGTTATGTCTTCATAAACATACCAACTGTGGTGCTTTGTTTGTTTTCCAGGATTTTCTTTGCATGCTGTTGGAAGACATCCCTGAACAAAAAAAGTAAGTGAGAACCAGGCTAGAAAAGTCAAAGAAGAAAGTAGAAATCAGATTTAAATATCAGCTGTGCTAGCCAGAAATAGTAGGATTTCATTTAGTATTGTTCTGCTTGCTTTTTTCAAGTGTGTGTATCTTTCTCCGAAAATTCCGAGACACATATACACAAAAAATATGAGACTTGCTGTGTTGTTGCTATCTCATGCTTCCCCCAAGCAGGGCCTTTAACTTGCATGTTAGGGCAGCAGTGAGGTCCTGTGTTCACTATGCGATCTGAAGTGCCAGGCGCAGCTGCCTCTTCAAATTATTCTGTGATCCTCCTGCCAGCTGCTTTTGGCACATAGCACCCTAGAGCAAGGAGGCCAGAGCTTTGCCGTGGATCTGGGAAACCAGAGAAGATGGATTTTCCTCAAGCAGTAGTCTGGTACCATCCCCTCCCTGTCACACATTGTGCCAAACGGGGAAGGATGGAAAACGCTAATGGAAATCCAGCATTAATTGCCTGAAATGTCCTTCAAAATCCTGCTGTATATGACTGTGACTGGCCGAAGATAATACAGCTAGTCTTTAGCAGAGCTTTGAATCCATCCCTGCTTATCAGTTGGTTTGTTCTGTGCTACTACAGACCGTGCTACAAATACAGATTCTTTTGTAGTGTAGCTTTACATATTATAGTTTTTAAAAATAATGTATTCACTTGAAAAATGCAGTTTTGGGGAGCAGGATTCCAAAAGTCTTCATAAATCTGGGTGAGTACTTTGGAAAAAAAGGGAGAGAAGATATTCATAGAAGTCAAATGCCTTGAGTTTTTAGTGAAACACTTCTGTTCTTAGAGGGTGAGGGATAGAGAAGCTAGTTATCATCGAGATAATGTTTTGTGGCATCATGAGTTTAGTTTGCACCGTGGTGTTACATTTTCCAGTGATGTACCGTAGGATGATATTTCGTTTATACCATTGGATATGGGTTTCCAGTCCAAATAGGACTATTAAATGGAATATATGGGAAAGTGAATTATTAAATGGCATGATTATACATTGATTTGTTAAAATACCTGTTTTCCTTCCTTTTTTCACTTGTGTTTCTCTGAAGTTCAAACCCAGTGCAAAATGTTATTTGAATAAGCATCCGATTTTCAGCCTAGAAACATGCCAAAATATTTAAACTTTCAGTGAGACTAATGCAAAAGAAGTACGTCTCCATTTGTGTTGCATCATACTCCAGAACATATGGACAAAATTTCAGGTCTCTGGTAATTCATTTTACAATCAGACATATAGCATATCTGAACTTACCTACTGCCAAATTACTTTGGGTGCAGTTACCAACAGCAATGCCAAGAATAATAGAACATCTGGATATACAGAAGGCCTTTATTTCTTACCTGCTACAAAGATGTTTTTTCATTCTTGAATGTTTTCTGTTGCTAGTACACAAATACTAGCCTGAGGTAAAAGCAAAGTGACGAAAGATAAAAATGAAGTATTTTTAGAGATCATCTGCTGATGAGTGCTTTTTTGCACAAAGTTTCAGTCGTAGGAATGAAATGCATTTCAAGATTAGAGCAACAAAATTCTTTGTAGCACACAAAACCTCCCAGACTTGTGCAATTCTACCAAGTAAAATTTTAATGTTAAAACTAAATGCTTCTTACTTGAAAAATATTAAACACTCCAATATACGGAAGTTTGTAATGGAGGCTGGACTTAATCATAAAAAAAAAGAGAAGAAGAAAAGATAAATTAGTAGTAGGGAATCAAGCCAAATCCTGCCCTCAGCTGTGGCGACAGAGGCAAACTAGTGTAGCTAGGAGTAGAATTTGGCTTACGGGAGACTTTTGTAATGAGAACAGGATTAACACTGGCAGAAAGCAATCGTACAACAGTGTGGAAATTTTCTGTAATTATTACACTGGTGTAACACAACATTAGTTTTCTGCTATTGCATGCAGCAGACTATATCAAAAAGATTGTCACTCTTCCAGTACTTATTCCTTTAGTTTTTAGTTACAGGAGATTTTTTAGTACATTCCCAGCAATGAGCAGTTCCAAGATACAGACGTAACTTCTTAAGTGGCAGTCATTGATTTTTGCTGCCTTCTGTACTCAGAGGAGGAGGACTATACGCGTAGTTTATACGGCTACTTCACTTCCTGCTCTGACTCAATTTTAATGGCATGTTAGCACTAGGAATCCATTCTCTAAGGCAGGATCCTCCTGTTTCTGGACTGCGGCTGAATACTGACATGAGACAGGCCTAGCAGTAGCTTCTGGTCCGTTAGAATTGCCTAACTTGCCCTTAAGGCAGATTATTTCTGTGTGTGAAGGGCTAATGGCAAGAAGGACAAACAAATATCTATCATTACCCTTCTCTGTTTTCAAAGACTTTTAAAATATAACATGCACTGGCTATAGCCTCACATTATCTTGGCCTTTCTGTAGAAAATCTACAGTACATCCCACTTGTAACTGAGGCATTTTATTTCCTCATATATAATTTGAAACTTCACTACATTAAAAAAAACCCACAAACTAAACCAAACAACAACAAAAACTCCTCTTATGCGTCTGTATATTACAGTGCACTAGATTTGATAAAACTCCCAGCGGCTCTGTTTTCCCCAAGGCTTACACCCCTAGTCTTTGCTGTAAATTGATCCTCTCCACATCTGCCCAACATGTGAGCCATGCAAAGACTCAATGTTTTTAATGCCCTGTAACAGAGGGTGAGTTTCACCAGCCTCAGATAAATCAGAGTTTCAGCTGCTTGTGCTCTTTACGACCGAAGATTTTTTTGAGCAGGTCAGTTCTGTTCTTTGGGGTTTTCTGGTGGTATTTTTTATTTAATTTCATTCAATAAAATACATAAGTGTACTAGTAAAGCTATGGTTTTAATAATACACGATAGACAAAGGAAGGCTTGTGTTAACAGCTCTGCTATTTGTACTGTTAACAGCTCAGGCTTACTAACCACAGTCCTTGGATGTCTTCATAAATTGTCAATTAAGTACTAAATCAATGTTAAAATAATGCTGTAATTTCAAACTACTCAGCTATACAGGTATATGTCTCTTTCTTTCATACTTGCTTTCTTCATTACTCACATTGTCATGAATGTGGTGATTTTGATTGAGACAAACAGCTGGTAGGCACCCAAGTCCCAAAGTAAATCATTGGGAAAGATTTTTTCCAGTGTTTTGATTCCTCCATTTTTTTGGTACTCCAAAATATATATGCTGGACAAAAAACAAAGGAAACCTTATCTGCAGGAAGCTATGGCTACTTGACAGAATCACTAATCAGTCACTAGTCTTTGGTTTGCTCTAACTATGCCTCCATATTTAGCTGGAATGGCTTACTTTGAAAATGATTGATGTGTATGAATGTATATGAAGCAAACATGCTTGTTGAAGTATTTTCAGTTGGATATAGCAGACTTTTTATCTTCCTTTACCAAAAAAAAAGAAAAAAAAAGTTGCACACTTCCATGTGCACTGTTTATTTGCTGCAACATCTTATTCTAAAAGTGGTTTCTCCTCCTTGACTGAGGAATTAAGTGGATTTATGTTAAAGTTTGTAGAGTGCCTTCGGGCCTTGTGCAGTGAAAGCTTGATATATACACATCTTTTATAATGCTAATTTTCAAATTATTATTAATGTTAGTATTTTACAGAGCTTGCTTTGAAGCACTGAATCTGGCCATGAACAGTATGTATGTATGTTAGGAGATCATTCCTACGCTGATCTGCTTATCATCTAAAGAAATAGACAATGGATGAGCTAATGGATGTACTAGCATTCTTATTTTACAGTAGGGAACTGCAGTACAAAGCAATTGAAGAACCTGCCCAGCCTTGTAAGAGCTCTGTTATAGTGCTAATCAGTTGAACCCAGATCCCACAGTCCAATACAGTACCTTAACCAGAAGGCCATTCAGGAAATCACACACACACCAGATTTAAGTCCTTACAGATGCTTAACTGCAACATAAGCAGGTGGTAAGTGCCCTTTCTGAATATGGATGCTTTACTGAACTGCAGCCTCTATAAATAGCAGGCCCTGTGTCCTTTCTCTAGGACATTTGTTTTGAAATAGCAATCTGTTTGTGATCTATTTTTTGGGCTTGTTCCGAAGCCCAACAAGTTAACGGAAACCTTTCCAAGGACTTCACAGTTCTTCAGTATTGACTCTGAACACATTCAGAGTAGATCTTTGCAATAGTCTGCATATTACTAAAATATTTGGAAAAAAAAGAGTGAATGCCTGTAAAATGCTAAAACAAGTTGCTTTTTTTGATGGGTGCCAACAAGAATGTCCTAAGTTGGAAAAAAAAAAGGTGTGTGAAAGTACCAACAAAGAAGACTGCATATGGTCATGTGACAGGTGTTTAGCTGAAACTGAGGGTGCTGCAGGCAGAGAAATAGCAGCATTGTCTTTGCCCTTGAGAAAAATGTCAGTTTCAGGAGAGGCTGAGCAATTTACTAGTGGTGTTTCTGCCTGGATTAGTGTCGTGTCAGAAGAGTGCAATCCCCCTCAGTGTCATAAACTCATTTCAAAGCCAGTGTTTTGAAATGAGCTGTTGTTGCCTTTGAAAGAAATAGAGGGTATATAAAACAAAGGCACTGCATAGCAAAGGTAGTGTTATTATTTTGCATAGATTTTTTTTTCTGAGGAAATCTCGCACTTTAAATTTAGCTTAGTTTCGGGGGGGGGAAAGGACAACTGGCATTGTGAGGCTTTGTTTCTTATCCCTAGGTAAGACAAATTAAATGCACAAATAAGGGTATTTTTCCCTAGCTGCTAGCTCTGCTTCAGCATTGGAACACTGAGCTGTATTGGTTTTGATTCATGCAATAACAAATTAAAAAAAAGTTATTCTGATTATGCTGTTTGAGGCAGAATAAATGGTACGATCCACCTGATCTACCTTTGACTATATGAGATTTGGGTGTCCAGTTTTAAGCTAGTCCTGTATGTGCTTTCTGTAGTAACCAGACAGAAATAAGAACTAAAAAAAATGTCATCTTATCCTGAGGAAGGTGAATTGACTGACTGTTTGGAGATACTTTCTCTCCATTCCCTGTGGTAGGGACTCAGCTAACTAACTTAGACTAGACACCAATTTTTAGAGCACTGTAGTAAGGTAAAGGTAATTATAGCCTGAAGGATCTGGCAGTCAAATGCTCTAAATTTAATGAATTTGCACAAATAACAAGGTACTACTAAAAGCTGACGAAATCTGGATATTTAGTAATTAATTTGAATGTCAAACACTACCCCATTACAAGCATGGTGTATATGTTCAGTTATATGTAGAAAATCGATTTCCATAGTGATCAGACATGCAGAATGGTAATTTCCTGAAAATTCAGAATCCTGGCCATGTAGAAATGCTTCTGCATGACTGCTGCAATTATTTGAATCACATGAATCAGAGGGAATTTTTTTTTGTCTGTGACAGTCTACGATCTCGTAATACGAGATATGTATACGTATCTCTCGTAATACAAGAGATACTTTGACATTTCAGATTTAGTGATTGGGAAGATTTCTTTGTCTCTATGGGAATTATTCCCCCTTCTGGGACTTTTTAAGTAATCTTAAAAAGTAAGTAAGAGATATGTCATCTCTTACTTGTAAAGATACTGTTGAAGTAAAGTTTGGACCTAAATTGCATGAACAATCAAAATATATTACCAGCAGCGAATAGACTAGTGCTGTTTCCACATTGCGCCTCCTTGGCCTGCACCATAAGATGTGAGTGATCAAAAACTGAAGAAAAGAATTAGTAGAAAATGAAAGCATGTATAAATTTCTTTATTGTCATTGTAATCTGAATGTTCTTTAATCTGAAGCTTCTTCCAATTTTCAGTATGATGCTGTAGCCCATTTGTGCAAGCATATCTTAGTAGCTGAATGACATAGGGCAGCATTTGTAAGGAAGACTTTCTTATGTTTAAGGCACTTGGTGTCTGGTTTTTGCCTTTGTTACAATATTCCTGTGTATGTTGGACAAGCTTATCAAGACCAGATTGCTTATTTTTTGCATATACGGTTGAACAATTACTCAATGAGAAGCCAGATGAGACTCTATTTTGATGAGATTCTCCCACCCCTAATTCACATTGGCAGAATTTTATTCTATTAGGTAGACCTGCTCATTTTAATGGACCTCCTTCAGAATACTGCTCAATGTGAGTAGGGATGGCAGATCTCCCAACACAATGGTGTAGAGTGGAGGTTGTAGCTGCTAATTCTACCTCAAAGGAATGCTAACACCTAGTTCTGCTTGGAGAGGGAGGGTAAATTTTTCATCTTGGATTCAACAAGGATAAGAATATCTAACTCAGGATATAAGCCATGTCTGGAATAGTGCTGTTGTTACACATATTAATAGCAATAATTTAAATCTTTAGTCATTCCAAATAAAACTAGCCAAGTTAAAGAAATGTAATAACTATGATCAGTAAACACACAGAAATTTTTACTCTATGAATGTGTTCCAGGGTCATCCAGTAACATATTGCTTGACTGCTTTTGAGACTCCATAAGTTCTCTAAGCCTTAGTTTTCCCATTTGCATATCAGGCGTAACTGTGATTGATACCTCTCCCATTGGCATAGCAAAAGCTAATATTTAAAGGTGTTTAAAAATCGTTCAGTAAAAATGACTGATGTATTCATTACAAATCCTTCTTAGTCACTGATACAGTCCATAAATAAACATCCTTTAGGGTCAGAATTTTGGGCACAGCTTTGTCAGGGGTTGGGGGGAAAAAAAAAGGCTTCTTTGTCATATAATTCAAATAAAAATTGTATTGGGTTGCTTGTCTTCCTGCTTCAGAGCTTCTAAATGGCTGTTCTTTTCATGAATGCTTTGTTGGTTATGGGTCTACATTACACACATGAAGGTAGCTGCAAGTATTAGAATGAGTCTTGCCAAGGCATTACCATGCACAGGACCGTGCACATCTATTTTGCTTCTCAGGATATTTACATTCATTGAGGGCTTACTCGAGTTCCTTTTTCAGTATTGGCACACTGCATGGACAGTGTGGTTTTTTGTTTTGTTTTGTGTTTTTAAATTGGCTTCCCTGCAGGTTAGGAAGACTTCAACCAGAGTTGAAGTAAATGCAACAGAAGTTGCCTATAAAAGTAAAAGGGGAAATACAGTTTCTGAATTTGCAAATACTTACGCATATGGTTATTCCAGTCCCACACAGCTTGATCATGACAAACTATTTCCTTTTGTTGGGGGTCCAGACTATTCTGTGACTTTACTGTGAATGTTATCAGGATATAAAGAAAGTGCAGAAAAGATGAAACTGAAGTATATTAGATACTTGGTAACTTTGAGGATTAATATCCATCAGTGCCTTCTAAGACCCAAAAATTTAAGGAAGTTTGTATTTAATTTAATTTTCTTTGGTATTTTATCTTTACATGTAGGCTGCTTCTGTAATAAAATACTGGGTTTGAATGTCTCCAGTTAAATTTTCTTGCCTGTGATTTTTTTTTCTGTAAAAGAAACAAAAATCCATTCAACAAGAAGTAGAGCACCTGTTCATACTTCATGTTTCATAAATGCAGTTTACCATCTTACACTTTCTCTGTCCATCCTCATAAGCACTGAATTTATCATTTGAGTTTTAAGCAAACAAAACCTGATCTGTTTTTAATTTGCTCATATCACCTGATGGTATTACTCATTTAAAAAACAAGAATGTAGTACCACTGCAGTATAACCAATACTTGGAATTCAGGGTTTTGCTCAGCTTCTAAAGGGTTAGTTTTCATGTGGAAAAAATGGTATTTGTGTGTGTGTCTTCTAACTTTTTTTATTTTTGATTTTTTAAGATCTGAGTTAACCGTAGAAAGTATCTTCCAGAATTGGCTTGACACTTCAGGAATACCAAAGGTAAATACAAAATACCAGTTCCCAATTCCTTCTGGAGTCTTGCATTTCTCATTACATTGTATGTTATTTAAATCATTTCCTGAACTTAAACAGGTATGGTTTTAAATAAACAGTTTTGATGATGACTGCTTTCCACATCTTTATGTGGGTTTAGCTTTCATCGGTTGCAGGTTTTTGCTTCTACCATCATCTCAACAAACCTGCCAAAGGGCAAATCTTACAAAACTTGTCCTCTTGCTCAATATTGTAGTCACATGGAAGTATGCTTTACAGTATAGTGGTGGACTCTGCTAAATATAAGGAGCATTGTTTACAGTTGTCAGTGTATGAATTACTTGAGAGCCATACTGACAGCAGTAACTAAATGTTAAACTATTTGTACTTTGATATTTGGTGAATATTGTGACTTGCTCAAGAATCTGCTGCATGAGTAACATATTTCATTAGTGTTCCAGCTCTGTTGCAGTTGAGACTGAGCATTATTTTCTGCTTTTAATACTAAAAGCTTTTAATACTAACGTTTTAAATTCTGTGAACTGAAAATGCTTAGTTGTGTCAGTGCTATGTGAAGGCTTTGCTTATTCGTTTAGGTCCAAAACTGGGATTAGCTGAAGAAAGATATCTCTGTATAAATCTTCCTAAAACCCAGTTTTATACAATGTTTGGTTTTATTACACACTGGGGGCTCAATTTTAACTGATTTCCCCTAAGCTGGCATCCCCTAAGTTGCTTGGGGTTTATCTTACCTAGTGCTTGCAATTGTTTGCACTTTGCATTAGCATTTTAAAAAAAACTTTGAAGAGTTAGAATGGTAAGTCCTGGTTTGTATGTGCAAAAGTGAAGGTACTTAGGCAGCATGACTGAGGTTCTGAGGAGTGGGCATGTTCGCACGTGGAATTCTCAAAATAGCTGGAGGGCTCAAAACGATAAGCAGTGGTCACTAAACCTGAGCTGTACCCAAACGCTGGGGTTGAGCTCTTCCCTTGACAGCTTTAGAGGTGTGCATGTCCATTGTTCTCTGTATGCTGTAGAAGGCTCTTTGGGAAGTTTTGCCCTGACATCAAAATGTTCAAAGAGTAATATTTGAAGATGCTATAAAATCAAGGTGGAGTTTGTTTTTTGCTGTAGAATTACTGAAAATAAAATTAGCTTTAATTGAAAGGGAGGAAAGGAAGGGATAGTAATCATACATCAGACATCATACATCTTGATGTTCAGTCATTTCTTGAAAAAGGACCTTGATTTTAATGCTATGTTTTGATCAAAGTTTTGTTCCCGATAGAAAATTCAATACATTGTAGGACAGCTGCTTCAAGTATAGGGGAGAAACTGATGTTGCACAGCTGTAGTTGTAAGATGCTGACCTGGCTGTCTGAAATGAAGGAGTTTTCTGGCATTTTACTTACACGTATCTCTTTGAGGATGTGCCTTATTAGTGTCTCACAATCAACTCTAAAATCACAAGTACGAAAGACGGGAGCAGACTAAAGAATTGAAAATGGTTTTGATTAATGTGAAAACTGAACTCTGTTTTCCTGAGTGTGTACTCTAAGTTGTTCAGAATGAATAGTGAGTAGTTTCATTATACCCTGCAAGTACCTATTGGTTGTGTAAGCAAAGCATGTAGCAAAAATATTTCCACATCCAGGAGGCTTGTAAATTGTTGTAAATTTTCTTTAAAGACCAAAGAGGTTTCCCTGATCGTTTGGCTCTTTTGTAAAAACAACGTCAATAGGAATGGTGCTGATTTAGTATTCTGCTTCTTCTGAGAGTCAGCACGCTGATCTCTTCCCTCTGTCTCTCTCTTCCCTCAATAACCTTTTTGATGGTTTACCCTTGTTACCTTGAGCACTTCTCATGCTCTTGTGGGAACTAGTTTCCACTTTATTGAAAGAACTGGAGTTGTCATTCAGTGAGTAGGAAATCTTGTTTCCTTTGTGCTTTATTAAACCATTTGGGGAGCCCTTATTCCAGAAAGCAAGACTGTAGAGGTTGTTTAGTAGCTCTCAAAACGTTAGTATCTATAATCTAAATATGACTGTATTTACTGACTACAGAACTATAAATCTACTCGTGTGCTGTACAGGAGCTGATATTGAAACCCCCTTAAAAAGTATTTAGATTATCTTTATTTCAGCAAACTATTAACTTGGCTAACATGATGAGTCTACGTGAAGGCACATAGACCACTTTCTTATATGCAGGTGAACTACCTGCATCATAAATAGCAGCCCGGGAATGCCACAGAACTGGTTTTTCTCTCTCATATGGGTTGCCAGGTGAGTGGACTAGGGTGTGTGTAGAGGAAGGTTTCTGTCAGCTCCTTTGGGTGAAGTCATACGGCTGAGCCAGCCAGTCAAGCAGTGTGGGCAGTATGAGGTACAGAGCATCCATAGCAGTTGACTACCTTTCTTGAGTACTGGAGCAACTGAAAAGCAGCTGTTTATCACCCTTATTTACTGACTGGACTATAGACTCCTGTAGCATAATAGTTAAAGTCACTCTTAATCCTGCAGCACCTACTCTTAGAGGGACAAAATGCATTTCTTAGTGGTTTAGTAGATAACTATGAGAAAAACTTAATTGAGAATTTAAACATTTTAAATTTACAAATATAGCTAAGACTTCACTGCATTTGGAGAGGAAACTTCCTTACTGGGGAGACTATCTTTTGTAATGGGATTGGGAAATATGCATCATGCTGTCCATGCGGAAAATCAAGTCAGAACATGGTTCCTTTAGATCTCTCCCATATGAGCTTTTTTATATTTGGTAGTGGCTGTGGTTGTTTTCATGTCATCTTTTATTTTTATATTTTGGTGGGTTTTGCTCAGGAAATTCACATCATCCATTGACTATAAAGAAAATTCACCACTTGTGGTTCATTTACAGCATTAGCTACCAAAGTGTTTTTAAGAATTTTCTTCTGTGGTTATATCCAAATCTATCAGCTGTACACAACTGGTACTCTCTAAAATTTGATAACAACATGGTCACTTAAAAACAGAGTTGTTAGCCCACCCCTCAGTTCACTGTCTTCAAAACAGTGTCTAGCTTAAGGACACTGGAAGGGTACTTGTACAAAAAATGGATGAGGGTAAATACTTTCCACTCCCCAGACTGCTGAAGCAATTACTTACCCTTTTTTATATTTTATAGTGGCTGTGGTTGTTTTCATGTCATCTTTTATTTTTATATTTTGGTGGGTTTTGCTCAGGAAATTCACATCATCCATTGACTATAAAGAAAATTCACCACTTGTGGTTCATTTACAGCATTAGCTACCAAAGTGTTTTTAAGAATTTTCTTCTGTGGTTATATCCAAATCTATCAGCTGTACACAACTGGTACTCTCTAAAATTTGATAACAACATGGTCACTTAAAAACAGAGTTGTTAGCCCACCCCTCAGTTCACTGTCTTCAAAACAGTGTCTAGCTTAAGGACACTGGAAGGGTACTTGTACAAAAAATGGATGAGGGTAAATACTTTCCACTCCCCAGACTGCTGAAGCAACATTACTTACCATCTCCCTAACAGTAGAGGAATTAGCATTTTGTATTCTTTATGCCAGTGATATGTCATGGCATTTGTCTAACTGAAGATCCTGTACTCCTTTCCCAGTGTTTTGTTACGTTTACCATCCCAAATCCTGTCTCCAACTCTGTCCAGGGAACCACATATATATATATATATATCTCCCTTTGTACTTGAAAATTATAACTATTGAAACTTTAATATTTGTCATTTTCTGTTACCATTTCACGCGTGGAAGAGTCATTTGGTCTTTTCTAAATATTGGGCCAGTTTCCAGGCTCATGTATATACCAGGAGTAATCAAGAATAACTTAAGGGAGTCATACTGATAAATAAAAACAGAATTTGGCCTGTTGCCATGAAAAAATAATTCTGTGTGCCAAGTTACACTTCCAAATTTGGTATTTTCTAAAGCATTAAAGGTTAATCTTATAAAAAGGGTGTGTGGTAATGCCTGGCCAACTCTTTCTTACATGGAGGAGTGCCACAGCACAGTGTGGTTGTCTCCAGGCTTGCTGTGCAGGAAGGTTTTCTCACACACAAAACAATAAGGAACATAAGAGATGAAAAGCAGGCATTTCTGAAATACAAGCTTTCATGAGGACTTTTTTCTGGGAACACATCGCGGTGGTGTTAAATAAGGTGAAGCATATTGCGTTGTTGAAAATAACTTTTATCAAATCAAGCAACCTTCATCATGTACTTCTGTCTCAGAGGTGACTCACCAGGGGATTATAGCAATTTTTCATCATGTGCAAGTAGTAATGACTTAACACCACTAACTTTAGTAAATGAGTTAAGCTGGCAAGGAGTAGAATCAGAAGAACAAAACAGCATTTAGAGCTGGAAAACACCTATGAAATCACTTAAGTCCACTTAATCACTGCTGCTGATGATTTGTTCTCTTAAGTACAGTTTCTATTGTGTCTTTCAGTCTATGTAATGTTTAATTAAAGTTTAAGACTAAAAGACCATATGCTTCTTGAGGAATATTTTCTCAGTTCTGCACAAACTTGTCTTTGTGTTATATTGCCCACTTACTCTTACCTGAATTTCTTTTTCTACCCTAGATAATTAACCTTTTCAAAATATGCTTAAAATCTTTCCCCATTTTGAACTGCGTTGTATACTGTTTAATTGAGAAGTAGACCAATAAACATTAGGTAGTCTCTGCATCTCATAGACTCCTACATATATGTTTTTTAACTCATTCCAGTTTCACCATCTTTTCTTTTTCCTCTGAAACTGCATTGTTTCATAACATACTATTATTTACTGGTAAACTTGCTATCTTGAATGTTCCTTGGGTGTGTATTTCATTTGGTACCTTGTGTGATGAAAACAATCTTCTCCAGATTCATTCCTGAGTTAAAAGAAAAGGGGGGAAAAGAAAAAAAGAGAGTAGTTGGCCTGCTCCTTCATGATTTTTAGTTCCAACAGATCCTTCAGTGTAATCTACAAGTC